CATACATGCCTAAGCTTCATAACAACTGCTCATGTCTTGCTGATTTAGGCAAACTTTATGAGGATTCCCCGGCAAGATCAACCGAACTGTAATACTAGTTGCGGCTCTTGTATCTATACCACTATATCAGGCCGAGGTTCAGCTCAAAGGGGCGAAAAACCACTATCAGGAGATATAGACGGCTTATTGTGAGCACGAAGCAGTCTGGGACAACCTTACTAGTTTATAATGATAAGTTCAGACAGGCGCTAGGACCGAAATTTGCGGTTTTCCATTGTTCATCTTTTCAAAAAGTCTTCTGCAACTCTGTTCTTTCTTACAAAACAGCAAGCCCATCTGTAACACTTCAGCCATTGGGTCCTGATATGCTATGCAAAGCCACATCAGATTAGTAGATTAACTTTTGCTATTCTTGATGTATACTAAGAGATCGTGCGCTTCACTATCACTCGGCTGAGATTGACAGGCTAATTGGCAAGCTCCTCAACTTGCTTCCGTGCGTCAAATAAAAACTTGTGCTTCTACCAAAGTCCAGTACAGATCTAGCGCAAAGGATGATGTCCTAGATTGTTCGACACATGCCATAGTCTGCATAACAGCACGTATCACACTGAAGTACCTGCCTCCAATTTCATCTGCATTTTTTAGCAACAACTAATGCGAAACTGCGGAAATAACTGCCTGCCATGTCTCTTTTCCTTAATGTCTTGCTTCCGAGTACACTGTCATTATACCTGAGTACCTATTTTTGGCATTCTGTTCCCTCTTCACCTATGGTAGTACATACTAACGCTCAGACCTGTCATGGATGCGACAGATAAATAGTAAATTGACACCACAGTAAACAAGCTGTACATTGCTGTGAGATCTTAATCTTCAAGCGGTTACCGTATAAATAGATGGGGTTGCTAGTAATGTATGTTACAGCGGTGGTGCAGGGAAAGAGCGGTTGAAGGCAGCCACAGTTACTCAATTACTATAGTGGAGTCACTTCGCATTCCGGAACAGATTGATTGACAGCCGGACTTGATTGAAGACTTGAGTCATACGATGAATCTAACTAATTCCGAATTAACTGATGAACTGCAATGGCGCAACGTCAACTCCGTTCTACCGCACGTTCCAGAGGAAGGAACCAAGGAACCCTAGAACTTCGAATATGAGCGGCTACAGACATTAAGGTGACAAACTCACTCATATCACAGAATTTTAAGCCACTGCTACCCTTGTGTCTTTCGAACTTGGTCATAGAGTGACTCCAGTTTGTGCCGTTTTACAATAAAGACCTCTGCGCAAATTATCAAGAAAGATAAATTGCCTCAACCTTGGGTGTTATATCAGTAACATACTGTGATATCTAAAATACCCTCAGGCTGAACAGAACACATAGTCCATATCATCCCCACCTGCTGGGGATTGATAGACAGACATTCATATCCATCAATCTAGCACTTCTTAATAAGGCCATTAGGTGGAGTGTTATCCGGAACCGCCGCACGGAGAGACCGGTGAGGATGAGATCCCTGTGGCGACCCGGCAATGAGGTAACACAGGAATCTGTCTCCAGGGTTTCCTAAGAAAAGAAAGACTAGAAGCTTTACTTGCATCCTGCTAAATAGTCGGTGAATACCCGGGTAAATTCTTACGTATTCTATCTTTCCCTCCCTCCATTGTGATTTTACTTCTAACCAGGAAACTTTGTACCCACTCCCGGCCTCCGAAGTTTCCAAATCAGAGAAAAATGCGAGTTCCAGTCTACTAGAAAGTGGGCTCTGCAGGATGCCTCTTCCCTGTTCTATCATTAGCCATATAATATTCCATCTGCCTGGTCGGCCAGCGCGCTTGGGAAAGCTATCAACAAAGGTTCGCAGATGACCTGCATGAGCAGCTAAGCTAAAGCCCTGTCTGTGATCTACAAAAAGTGATATATAAGCTTACTACCATGCGATGTCGAACAAGTCAACTTTGTCCGGGGTCTGCAGTATCGATGCAGATGATATGTGCTTGGGCCCCACTGTCAAACCATGTGCCTATAGGACTTACCGGCACCTGCACACTAGATAATCCAGCTAACTTGGGGAGGCAAAAGCCTGAAGATCAGAAATGGAACTGTGGCTCAGACGCAATATTGCCTTCAATGGCAGATGGACAAAGTTCACTACACTGTGCACAGACCATACGGCGGTAAACCCAAATCAGGTTCTGTCTCTCTACTTCTTTTACAATTCCATTGTGCATGCAACCTATTGCTAATGCCATACGAGTGAGCACATCATCTCGGATTACTCAAATACCAGACGAATGGCAGTCACACCGCATGAAAGGAAGTACCGGTCGCTAAGAACCGAGAGGAAGTTGCTATAGTAGTAATGATTCCCATTCATTTCTGACGTCTCCGTCTCCTGTGTCTGCTCCGACTCTCTCAAGTCTGGCAAATGAGGCGACCGCTCGTTGTCGCGAAATCTGACAACAAGGAGCTGTGGGGGGCGCGCTGAGAAGATCTACTGCCGCAATGCCCAAGAACTAATGCATGCATTCAAAGTTTTCTAAAGCCACTTGGAATACTATCTAACTGCTGCATGATATACACGAGTGCGCCTTGAGCCTCTCTCAAGGAAGGCTGGGCTCCGAACGGTACCAGTTATTGTGGACCTTGGCATGGGGCACACCGGCCCTCTCGGTCAGACATGTCAGGACACTAAGATCTGATGGCGTCTGGTCTTGGGGCAAGGTTCTACTGGTATCTGAGAGTTGGAAGTTTCTCGTATTAGAGAATAGCAGTGATGTGTTCAGTTCGCACCAGATACCCAAGCATGGCTCTATCGGGTGAAAGGTTCGATGCGGTCCGTGCTCGGTGGATGACAGTAACACAATCCAACGCTCAATTTTTGCAATCTTTGCATATGTATCTGATATGAAAGACTACCGGAAGACAGGGTTCGATATCATGTGGATCGAGCTGATGTGTTGTTGATCATCGTTCGTCCGGACGGTAGGTGAGCAGGGGCCCTAGTAGCCATCATCGGAATAACCAGCCGCCAAAATAACCCAGGAAAAAGGATAAGATTAGGGACCAGCTTTGACTTGGAAATTCGACAAGCGGTCTGGAGTGTGGCTTTCTCCACTTTGGCTGCATGGAATCTTCAGAAGAGCCAATAGCAGCTTGACTGAAGCAGATTGAGTCGCGCTAATCTGAACTTAAGAGTTGCTTCAACCACAGCTACGGTAACTAGTCGCATCTTGGAATGTTTGCCTGCATTCATGCCATCACATCGTGGCAGTAATGCCAGGGGCTTGCGTTTTTGAATAACCACAGATAGACTGCGGTCAACGACAATTATATGAGACTAAGCTAGTGAGAGGATCGGTATGGCATCGTGGACATTCACCTCTTTCCATGGATTCGTACGGATTACAATACCGCCCGAGGCAGGTAGCAGTTGTGCGTGGCTTGCCGATGCATATTACATGTCACTATCATTTGACAGTTGTCCCGACGCCACGAAACAGGCATGAAACTATAAGATTTCGAAGCAAGGGAGCGCGTCTATCGCCAGGGAAAATTACTGTAAGTGGACGTTCCAAAAAGTCCCGGTTCGGGTTTACGATCGATCCAGAGCGTCACACGCACACACACCTATTTCCCCCCTTCTCTTTATCTCGAGGGATGAGAGCACCCAACTAGATCAAGGCATGACCAAGATTCATAATCAACATCGGAGCAACTTCTCTGAGATTTTACATGAGTATATGCTTCATCTGTGTGGCACAATTCTTTTGGCCGTTCATGACTTACCCCACATAATGGAGGATATTCTGAGTAGGAGCAAACTTGCTCGCTTGTTCCCAAGGATCTCTTGGTTCCATGGCTGGCTGAACAGATTCTACAATATCTGTATGGTTTCTCTTCTTACTATATGCACAGAAGCTATCCGACCTTCTTCTTGGGAGAAAACTATAACTTTAGACGGAACCCCATCATTGGGTGGTTCTTGGTATCTCCCTGTTAGTAGCTTAGTCTCCTTGCATGACCATCGCACCTTATAAGGATAGATGGCATACTTAAATTGATATTGCAAGCTCTGGGGAAAGGGGAGTAAGGCCATCACTTAATAGCACAAAATTGATAGACGGCTAAACTTTTCCTGTACCATGAACGAACCCACTTAAGAAGCTAAGAAGCAAGGGAACTGAACGAAAAATGACTTTGATAGTCAGACTCTATGACAAAGGTAATTATGTGGCAGCCTTCTCACTTCTAATACTTCCGAAACCTGCCAAGTATATTGCTTCTGTTAGGTATTCTCCCCTCCTACCGGACTGCAACTTTGCTTTTTCCATGGTCTGAGCACCCAACGATTAACTTCCGGCGGTCGATCGCAGCGATAAGAGGCTAAAGCTCTGACAGGGGTCCACCGCGTCATGAATTTTGAGCATGTTCTCTTGTAATATCACTCGAGGTTGAATGGTTAGTCTTTCAAGAGGGCATAGGCCCTGTTTCCTTTCACCAGGAGCCACTTGCAATGTACTCGGTATTTGAGAAAATTAAGTAGCACTACGGTCTATCTCGATGCGAGTCATGGAATGACGTATCACAATGCGGACATAAATGCAAAGACAACTACTACTGCTCGGCTAACCCGAACGTTCCGATCAACAGAGGCAGTTACACCGTCGTGGGTCCCAGCATTACGCACGCGACGAACCGATTAGTATCAATAGTCCTCTTCTGACCCGCTTTCTGCCGTGTCCAATAGAGCCGCTAAAATAAGCCAAGCTCTTCCGGGTCCTCGTAAACTAGGACTTCAACAGTCCGTGATGCGCTCACCACTTGCATCCAGTATCTGAGGCTTAGCGCATGCAGTCCTGGATGGTCAGCCTGGTTTTCTTGCGATAAACAGAGTGTGAAAGGCGCAGTCCATGACAAAATTGCGACTACGTGGGCAAGCCATTGTTGCTGATAGGCTGGTGCGTCAGCAGATATTGAAGTTTAATTATAGCACGAATTTAACACGAATTGTACGGATGTGCATAAATTTCTGCTGCCTTCGCTTTCTTTCCAGACTGCCTCGTGGAACACGATCGCCGTCGCGTATTGCTGAGGCCTAATCTCGAACATGCTTGCAGCTGAGGGTTACAAGGGTGCAAGGTGAGCGTTCCCACCGTTATAGTATATTGTCGACGACATAAACAAGGAGTAGAGGAGCCGGGAAGGCCGAGAATTATAGCAGTAGACCCTATGTAGTAGACCGTACGCGTATCCTATCAAGACACTTTTATTACTGACTTGCTAGTACCTAGCCAGCATCCGTCTAAGCAGGCAATCTAACACGGTTTGGCATTCAGAGTATATGCTCACTTACTATTGAAAAGCATGTGCTATCGAGTGTACTATCAGAACATGCGCTGTATCTTGCATTGGCGTCGATGAGACAAAAAAAGAAGCAGATTTGATATGAACCATGCATCGACTACTGTCCGAACGACTATCGTGATAAGGAAGAGAAGAACGCCTCATACTGTGAGATACTTGACTCTGATGTGATATATCAGGCTCCCTGACTTGGAACGAGCGTATCTTAGCGGGATCAACAGTACCCGATGGCGCCAGAGTTTAGCTAATGGGAAAGCGTAACTGGTCTCCTCCGGCCCCACTAATCGCCGCAAGTGGTAAGGATTCTGGGTTGTCGGTTTCCGTGGAACGGCACTCCGATACATGGATACCTACATTCATACATCCATCGTACATACAGGACACAGGACTGACTACCGCTTGTCCTCGCTTCGTGTCTCCTTTCAGCATCCCCCTCCCACCTTCATCTTCCCTCGAAACCAATGGCCATCTGCAAATTCTCGCTTTGGATGGCAAGGCGATGTGAGCCCAGTCATCACGGAGGTTCCGGTGGCTGGCCCTCGGAAATCATGGCCCAAGCCCCCGTTCTCAAGTCATGGCAGTATCTCCATCTCTGCCTTGCCATTTGTCTAGTAGTACACCGATGAGAACTAGTTATCGGCATTGAGCAGCATGATGGCAACCTGTTGGGAAGGATCGTCGTTTCTTTTTTCTGTATCAGGCGATATCGTTCCCTCGCTGAGCTTCCTGTCTGCTTGTATATCATCGTCAATGATGCTTTCTCCCACTTATCCACTCTGATCTTCATTCTTGCAGGATATCGGACATATCCTCGGGCATATTGTTTTTCTTTTTTCTCTTTTTGATTTTTCTCTTCTTTCTCCCCTTATTGTCTTTCTATTCTTGCGTTGCCGCCACAGCAGCTGCATCTATTGTGGGTACATCTTTTTCCTTGCTCGGTTTATCTGCTGCCCATGATTCGCTAACACTCTTCTACAATAGCCCCCCAAAAGCATAAGAAGGAAGACAGACTACGGCATCCTTGGGCATATTTCTCAGCGGCCATCTCCTACACGAAATACTGCTCCAGTTGGCTACCCTCCTGGTCAACACTCGCTAGCTTCTTGGAATATATGCCGAGCATATAGTACGGGAGAAGCAGAGAGCGGTTTATTTTTCGTGCCCGTTGACGATGAAGTGGGGGATCGCAGGCTCGCTGCTTGCGCTCTTCGCACCAACAACAACAGCCTGGCCTTACGAGGCATCTTTGGTCGACTACAACCTCAATGTTAACAAGACTGCGACCAGTCCTTTCGAATACTCTCCACCAGCATGGCCGGGTCACAAGTATACGGAGTCACCCAAGAACTGGCGGTTTCCATTCTATACGATTATGTTAGACCGTTGGGTCAATGGGGACCCAGCCAATGACAACATTAACGGCACTGTTTTCGAACATGATCTCAATTCCAATCAAATGCGACATGGAGGTGACGCAGTAGGCTTGGTTGACACACTGGATTATCTACAGGGCATGGGCATCAAGGTTTGTGTTCCTTTCCTCTCACCATCGACTCGCCTCTTCTCCTGATATGAATTTGATTTTGCTCATGTTATTGAACATTTGTAATAGGGTATCTATCTTGCGGGAACTATCCTCATGAACCAGCCTTGGGGTGCAGATGGCTACTCGATCTTGGACACGACACTTCTCGACCAGCATTATGGCACTATTCAAGTATGGAGGGACACTATCGATGAGATCCACAAGCGTGGAATGTATGTCATATTCGACAATACGCTTGCAACGTAAGTCTGCCATGCTTCGTCTGTGCTCCTGTGAACCATCTATTGACCAAATGGTATCTCATCAGCATGGGAGATTTGATCGGCTTTGAAGGTTACCTCAATGTCACGGCGCCATTCACGGTCAAAGAATACAAGACTGTCTGGAAATCGGACCGTCAATATGTCGACTTCCGTCCCGGAAATACCTACAATGAAACCTGTGACTACCCTGCCTTCTGGAACGAGACTGGTTATCCAGTGGAAAGTTACGTCAACAAAGAGCTTGTGGGGTGCTACGACAGTGATTTCGACCAATATGGAGACCTTGAAGCCTTTGGTGTCTATCCAGATTGGGAGCGTGAATTGACCAAGTTTGCCTCAGTCCAGGACCGTTTACGTGAGTGGCATCCCAGTGTGCGGGATAGGATCAAGCTTCATTCCTGCAACATCATCAAAGCTCTGGACATCGATGGCTTTCGCTATGATAAAGCTATTCAATCGACTGTAGATGCTTTAGCAGACATCTCGCATACCTATCGGGAATGTGCTCGCAGTGTTGGAAAGGAGAATTTCTTTCTCCCTGGTGAAATCACTGGTGGAAATAATTTGGGCTCAGTCTTCCTTGGACGTGGTCGACAGCCCAACCAATACCCAGACTCTGCTTTGGATGCGATCAAGTTGACGAACAAGTCTGATTCGAAGTATTTCTTGCGCGGCCCCGACTTGGAAGCTATTGACGGTGCTGCCTTCCACTATTCTGTCTATCGCACCCTTACGCGCTTCTTGGGCATGAGCGGTAATTTGGCTGCAGGCTATGATCTTCCCCTGGATTGGGTGGATGCTTGGAACGTCATGATGCAAAGCAACGACTTGATTAACGCAAACACGGGGAAGTTCGATCCCAGGCATATGTACGGAGTCACAAACCAGGACGTTTTCCGCTGGCCTGCCATCCAATGGGGTGTTGAACGGAATCTTCTGGGCATCTTCATTACAACACTGCAGATGCCTGGTATTCCTCTTCTACTCTGGGGGGAAGAGCAAGGCTCCTACATAATAGACGCGACCGCAGATAACTATGTTTATGGCCGTCAAGCAATGTCACCGGCCACCGCTTGGAAGACCCATGGATGCTCTGCTATTGATGATACTCAGTATTATGACTGGCCTATTACCAAAGGTCGGGATGGTTGTAATGATATGACTGTGACCTACGACCACCGCGATCCCACCCACCCTATCCGGAACATCATTAAACATATGTACCAAATGAGACAACACTATCCGGTTTTGAACGATGGTTACTCACTACAGACCCTGTCCAAGCAGACGAGGGATATCCTCTATCCGGGCTCTTATGGCACGAAGACAGAGACCGGCATGTGGTCTATTCTGAGAGATATCATTTCAGATGTTCAAGATCTGGGATCTGACCAGGCAAATCAGTCAGTATGGCTGGTGTACCAGAATGACAACAAGACCGCTACATACACCTTCAACTGCAAGAGCAATGCCAGTGCGTTGATCGCTCCGTTCGACTCAGGAACCACTGTCAAGAACCTGTTCTACCCATTTGACGAATTCAAGCTGAAAGACAGCCCGAAGAAACTGCATCTGAACGGTTCGAAAGAGTACAACGGATGCCTCGATAGCCTGACACTGAAAGCGTTCGACTACAGAGCATACGTTCCCAAGGCTCGTTGGGTCGGCCCTGGACCAATGATCACCAAGTTCACACCTGGCCATGATGTCCCGCTTCTTTCTACCGTTGCATATGACGAGGCTGAGGACATTGATGTGAGTCTTGAGTTCTCTACCGAAATGGACTGTGATTCAGTTACCAAAGCCATCACCTTCACGTCGCAAACAGAATCTGGTAAAACGCCTTCCATCGACACAAACAGCGTCAGCTGCAAGAGTATTCCTGGTGCTAATGATACGGATACACAATATATCGGCCAACTTCCGAGCGCATGGACCTGGTCTGCGAAGCTCAATAACGTGTATAATGGTGTCCACAAACTGACTGTCAAGAATGCCACCACTTCCGACAAAAAAGATTCTACGGGATCTGTGGACCACCTGTTGTTCCGTGTTGGTCAAAGTGACAACCCGATAGTCTTCACCACTTCCAATTACTCTACCAGCATTCTGAACCAGTATGACAACGGCACACTCTATGTTCACCACAGAGCCGCTGGAGCTAGCAAATATCGGTACTCGACAAACTGGGGAACTACCTTTAGTGGATGGTTCAACTATACTGGGGGCAACGTCAGCATCGAGGAGTTGCCTTGGTCCGGAACAGAAAAACAAAAGTGGCAGGGCAAGCATGTGCGAGTTGAATACTGGAGTCAGTTGACTGGCAGTAGTGACTATGTTCAAGAGGGCGATTACGACTGGAATGGTCCTAAGCGGCGTTTCCCACACTTCTTCTTCGATGGACCGTACAACCAGTACGGTTATGACGCTGGCTTGGATAATGTCGTGAAGCAAGATAGTGAAGGTTACTGGAACTTCAGGGTTGTGGCTGAATATCCCGCACAAGGCCAGTTCAACGTCTGGGGCATGGATCCAGATGGTAAACCCGATGAGTCATTTGTATTCGGTGACGTGGATGGTGATGGAGTCTTGGAGCGCATGCCGCCTTCGTCACTCAGTACACTTTCTGTCAACATCACCAAGAGACCTCCGTATCCATACCTCGTGTGGAACGTTCATCTGGATGATGGAAACATGAGACTCAATCTTCAGCCGACTGGCTCTCGAATCGCACAGCTAATCATCTACATCCTGCTGTGGCTGGTTCCCATCATAACAGGTGCTGCATGCGTTTATGCCTTCATGAAGTCGTTCTATCAAGTCAAGTTTAATCAAGTCGGAGTGGTGGAGAAGAAGTCTTTCTTCGGGACAGTTTTTGGCACGGGGGCCAACAAAGACGGCCAATCCACGAACGCCCTAATACGTCTGGCTAATAAGTCTGGCTTCCTACAAAGCACGTCAGCCTTTGGTGCGGCAGGGTCACGAAGAAGAACAACGCTTATCGCAACCATGGAGTATGACATCGAAGACTGGGCTATCAAAATCAAAATCGGTGGCTTGGGTGTTATGGCCCAGCTTATGGGAAAGCATCTCGGCCAGCAGAACCTCATTTGGGTCGTCCCATGTGTTGGCGGAGTGGACTATCCAGTCGACCAGCCCGCTGACCCGATGAAAGTCAAGGTTCTTGGTAACGAATATGAGATCAAGGTCCAATACCACATTGTGAAGAACATCACTTATGTTCTACTTGACGCTCCTGTTTTCCGCCAGCAAACGAAGGCTGAACCATACCCTGCTCGCATGGATGACTTAGACAGTGCAATCTACTACT